CTGCTCTATACACGGAGCAGTTTGAGCTATGATATGCACGACATCCAGTTCCTTCGAGACTTGATCCCCTGGAAGAGAACTATTTTCTAAGGAAAGTTTGACCACTCCAAGGTAATGAAGTAAAGCAGCAACAACTGCAGTTGTCATAGTAGCAGACGGGCCCAATCCAGTTTTGGCAACTTCGGGTTTGCTCTTTTGTTCACTAGATTCCTCTGCATTAAAGGTGATCGAAGTGAAAGCTGGGAGAGAAGCCAGTGAATCGGGAGATAGAGGCAGGCCACGGGCTTCAATCTGCGTGAGAGTACCCATATGAGTCTGAAAGAAGCATTTTCACAAAAATAGTTTCATATCCATGTGCATGAGTAACTTTGAAAATCCTTCCACTATGCTGAAAATGTTAGGTTTAATAATTTCTGATCATAAACATCATTGAGACGTGGCCCAATTGCCAAATTAAACAAATTGTCTGGTAAAAATTCAGTAGAATAATGGCGAAGTTGAATACCTGATTTCTATATGAATAGAACTCATTGCAGCCTAAAATCGTAATGTCAAGACCTGCATGACTAGACCAAAACAGACATTAGAATTTCTAAGTTCAGTTAGCTTTTGAAGAAAGATCGGGGAATTTCATATCCAACTTTACCTAGCCACAAAAGTTTATGTAGCTCCTCCTTCTTAGTATTGTCAAAGGTGGCATGTGCTGCTGCTATAGCATATTGCAATGCATATTCTACGAATGGGTTTCTTGAATCACTGAGTAGGCATAGCGAAAAAAATCTCTCATGTAAGCATTAATTGGCCATATGGTTCTTGCTCAGACAATAGTACGTGAAAAAAAAGTAGTTCATTCTTCAATAAGTTAAGTTCAATTCATAAGCATACGCAAACACGCCACAGTTACTAGGGTCCATTACATAGAAATTATAAATGGTGTGCTTTTCACCTTGAAGATACACACTGTAGCTGCAGATGCTTAAGAGACAGTTTATACATAGTTTCTCTACCCATCTGAGGAGATGTCAGTTTCACATCTGTCCATGCCTGAAATACAGCGAATTTTTGGTAAGAAAATAAACCACATAGTACAAACCATTTGGAGAGAACAGAGAAACAAAACATACAATTAAAATCTTGGAAACTCATTTCAAATAAAATAAACAGGCGGTATGGCAAGAGTGTCAATTAAGTGAATTAAAATTATCCATTTACGAATCAAACTTGGAGATAGAATTGCACCACAAATTATCATGATCTACCACAGAGTGTCACATACCCATGCCCAATTGTCAGGTTTAAGGTCCTCATAAAGCGGCTTGACAATAGCATAAAATCGGGCATTTGTACTTAGTACAATCCCTGCATTAGGCCTCTCCAGAATAAGATATCCACCAGTCATCAAAACTTTTCCCAGCGCAGAAGCAACCCTACTCATTAATAAATTAGAACACAATCACTAACACCATCATCACCACGAAACAAAAACATACTGTAATTAAACAAGAACAAGCCTACTCACACTGCCATTTGTCAGCAACTGTATATAGAATTAGATCTGGACAAAAGAAACAACAAAATCAAGAATCAGATGAATAACAACGAAATCAAAACAATGAAAACGGCTAGAGATGGCAATGGGGCAGGTCAGGTCGGGTACTTCACTACCCGGGCCTGCCCCGCGACCCCAACCCCGAGGACGCCCTGGTCCGTTCCCCACCTCGGGTCCAACAGGGTTGCCTGTGACCTGGCCAGGCCCGGATGGGTTTGTTTAAAAAAAAATAATAATAATAACATTACAGTGGAAGAATAGCAAGGTTTGAAGTTTCATAGAAAAAGAGTCACAAATTATTTTATGATTTATACTAAATGAAGTATAAAATACCCAAATTTTTTGTATGTTGTTCAGAATAGCTGGGATTTTATTTGAAAAATATACAGACTAATGTACAGTAAAGCCCAAAAATACTTCTCATTGCAAACATATTTTTGAATGGCGACTGGCGAGGCGACTGGCCCATGGCCTCGCCATTCGCCATGGCGAGGCCTCGTCTACACATATCAAATTGATGAACTAAATATAGAGTATTAGACACCTATGTAATGAATTAAACAATTGAAACACATAAACAGATAAGTTAAACAGAAAAACTAAACCGAAAACCTATTTATTATACAATAGAGAAACTAAACATACAAAAATAATAAACACTAAATTATAAATAAAACATAAACTTTTTTTTTATTTACAAAAAAAAAAAGAACAACCCCAACACTAACAGAGGTCAGCAGCGCGCGACATACCCGGGGAGGAGCTCGTAGATGCGGGGCCGGCGCGGCAGCAGCTCCTCGGAGATTAAGAGAGCTGTCATTTATTTTAAACTATGACTGCAAATGTACAAAATGCAGAATAAACCAAAACTAAAAAGAAAAAACTTGATCTATTTAAAAGGGATTCAAAATAAAAGCAAAACTATAAAAATTAAAAATAGAGTGACCAACTGATCTATACGACTATATCTAACTCAATGACTCCACAAAAAAGATTTGGCCAGTTATGCAATATTTTCATTGCTCACCATCTGAAATCTCAATCACTTAAACCATTCGGTCGGCCGACGCCGAGCCCCGAACCATAGAGTAAGATCCCCAAATATTTTTGAAAATTAAAATGTTCGTTCATATCCCAAATAATTTCAATAAAATCTTAAAGTATAAATTATCTCAACTCTTGAAATGATGAGGGCCGCATCTCGACTAAGAACACAAGGCTAAATTAAAGGTCTGTGTGTGTACGCATGTGCTGTGGATCTCTCAATAATATGCAAATTCAAAACCGAATATTTTCGAATTTGCAGCGTCGGATTGAACTGCACTTACATGTTAAACAGAAAAAAAAAATTTAAGGAAAAAAAGTTACCTGGTTGGAAACTTCGTATGTGAAATCTTCGCAAGAGAAAATGTTGGTGGACAGTGGAGATGATAAGAAATGTGGGGAAGTCAAATTTCATTTGGTGTGCCAAATTTGAACATTTTTAGGTCCCTGAATACTTCCAGGGCCTGTTCGGTTAAACAACCCTATGATGGATTGTTAAACAACCCTATGATTTTAGACCCGGGCCGGGTCGTGTCAATTCGGTTTAGAGTTAGCTTTTGAATGAAAAAAAAAATGACTAAAAATAAAATACTTGCCATACAACAAGACACGGCCTTTCATTAGGTCTTACGGAGACTTACCTCGCAAGGGTAACCGTATTACATCGACGGGGACAATCGTACCGACGGCCGAATCGGCTCACGCCGATAGGCTACATGGTTTACATGCATACTTAAATCATACCAACCCAACATTAAAGTAAACACATACGGCATAGCAAATTTTATAAGTAAACCCACCTGGTTACCGAAGCGATAGATACAAAAACACGAGTAGGCAGCGAGCTCAGCTCGTCAAACACCTACATATATTAAAATAGTCCTATAAATGACTATTCAACACATGACCAACCAATCATAACAATCACTTAATCCAACTAAGCTCACATAAGCATTTAATCAAAGAAATCCCATTTCCGAAAACACCACTTACATTTTTCAAAACTTGACCCGTGCAGCGTTTTTGAAATCAACATAACTTTCTGTACAAAACTTGGATGAAAATGATTCAAGTTGCACTAGAATCATAAGACATGCATCTACAATTTCTATGAAGAAAATAAAAGTAAATAAGGTCATTAAGATAGTGTAAAAATAGCTAACATTCAAACATCAAATTTTGTCAAAGTATAAAATCCTACTTCATGCATATCTACATTAAAATTATCAAAACTCGAGCTACATATATCATCTCAGAATGAATGTTATCTCATTAGAAAGCTAATTAATATACCTACAACGTTCATGAAGATCACAAACTCATTTGAGCACATTTAAGTACCATAAAAAGGTCAAACATTTATTAATACATGCTGCCAGATTTTCGAAAACTGCTTGCACACTCGTTTTATAAAAATCATAACTCACTCGATATAACTCGAATTATCAAAATTCAAAAATCCCGATAAAGCCAACAGAAAATACTACATTTCATCAGAAGGCCTCAACAACAAATTACGGGTTTCTAATGGTCATAATTACAGCACAACATAGCATTAAATCATGCATGTACCAATCGAAAAAATCCAACTTCAAACAAGGATTCGGTAATACGAACGATACTTATATATAACATGTGATATACGAGAACAACCGCAATAACGAGAGGGTTCGGAAATGTTTACCGTCTTTGGGAAAATACGAGCTCAGTTAAAGTAATCGAACAAAATGACGGGAGTTCGGCATCGGCATTTTAAATTATTTTCCTACTATTCTCCACGGGAATTCAAACGAACAACAATTCGGCTTACGCGATTAAACCGAAAATTAAAAGGACGATTGACAAAATAAAATCGAACGAGATATATAATCACAGTATCCATATAATAGTATAAAATATAATCTCAAAATTAAGATTCGATAAATAGAATAATCTGAGAAATTCTATAAATTGAACGGGGCGTTACAATCTACCCACCTTACAAAGAATTTCGTCCTCGGAATTCGAAAACAAAACAACTAGAAGGTAAAGAGGGTACAAGAAGGGGACATCAAATGTGAGGTTCGGGTACTCTCTCCGAATCTCGGTCTCCCCCTGCCAAATAATCTCGCCCTCAACTTGACTACACTCACTGGACGTTGACGTGTACCACTCCCGGTCTTTCCCTGATGGACCTTCAGTCCCAACAGGTCACCGATACCTCCATACATGTAGGGTTCTGCCTATCACGCAGCTCGCCACAATTAACACATACCTCGAGATGACGCACACATTCCCTCCATCACGAGGATAGAACGTGGCATGCATGCTCACAAGTCCCGGTGGTGGAGTCAACCATCAGGCTAAGCTATTGACTTGGTCGAGAAATCATGATAGGACAGAAAATCGACACTTATTCTCAAATCTGGTACATTTAAAACACAAGGTTCTGTTTGATAACATTGACAAAGCCTCTCTCCTTGCCGACACGAACAACATCTCGTATGCGGTTTAGGAAGTAAAGGTCAGATACTCGATAATGATTTCCTTCCACAGAGTTGGTCTCTAGTCGAGACTCAATGTTCCACCCCCACATTACTACGGAAACTACTATCTCGCCAACTCGATAAAGTCTTGCATGTGGCATGGAAACTAATCGACAAACCACATACGCTGGGAATTGTTGATTAGGGCATTCACACAATGACTCGAAAGATCAACATACACCTTAACCAAAAGTCTGGTTCAATGACCCCTAATAGGACAAGGTCGGACTGAGTTAAATGCACTGTCACCCGAGAGGTGACACACACGCTGGCGCTGCATATGCGGGGCGCTGGGACGCGTGCATGTAACCACTTGGATACCAGCTACAAGGTCAAGGTTTGGCCGTAGACACTGAACTGGGGAGTTCGTGCGTTCGGTGATGGCGGCGGCAGTTCTCATGTGAGTCAACGATCGGCCACTGCAGTTGGCCTCACGTCTCTCAGCACGGCGTGCAGGCTCTGATACCAAACTGTAAACCCCACTTTACCAAAACCAATATTAATTTTTCGAGATCATTTTCGAAATTCTATGGGTATTAATCAACGTTTTTCTTAACCCAAGTCATATCTGGGCCCACGGGATTTCATTACCCGGATGTTTCACAAGGTTTCATTACCCTGATTTTCAACATAAGTTATTCAGCTCGTAAACGAAGGCATGAAATAACCAAACACATTATGACCAATTCACATTAGGTTCATCAAAACATCCCAAAAATTAACATACTCAAACAGGAGTTTTTAAAACAGTTTTCATGTCTTAACCCAAAACAAAGTTCCAAACACTAACACATTTAGTCATATGCAGAAGCATAAATAATCATAATCATAAGACCAACCCACTCGTCCTTCCTCGTCACTCGGCTCCTGCTTAACCTGCATCCGTGAAGAGCAGGTGGGGATGAGCACAACATGAAAATGCGTGCTCACCACTATGCACATATATCACATTAATAAATA